ACTCGTTCTTTTATCTATTTGCGTAGTAGAATGAAATGGTATAAAATTTAAATAATTTGCATAGTTTTTTATTGATGATCTAAAAAGCAGTACCCAAACTTTTTCATCTTACGAATTCATTAAAAACAAATTGGCTGTTATAGCTCAAAGGCAACAAAATTATTTTAATTTAGTGTTAAAAACTGCTCGCAACACTTTCATATTTGATTTTGCTATCCGCCAAGTCATCTAGTTTAAGTACATGTTAACCATCGTTGTCTTATTTCAGTTAATAAATTGTTTACATACGATGAATGTAGACATTTTGTTGGTACGGCAAAAAAAAGAGTTTATCACTTCTGCTACTGCAATTTACAATACTGCTAGTTACTGCCTTGTTGGAAATACTTCGGTAAAACATATTAAATAAAAATCAGTCAAATAAAATTTATTGTTTTTTTATTACACGCCTTTTTAGCCTTATTACTTCTAGTATTAGATTATATTAGGAGTTGGACCTTATTTGTCCTTGTCCACCGCGACCTTTTCAGATTTATTGTGGGACTCCGTTTGTTTTAGAGTATGTCGTCTAGCCTGGTCTTTTTTATTAGACTTAGTAGCTTTGACAGTGGCTCCCGCATGTAGTTGCATGCATTTGGCATTATTTCGTCCAATGTTAGAAACCTCATTCCAACCAGGACTTCACATTGACATAGGACGTTCTTCTTCACAGAACATGCACAAAGTTGCTTCTTCTGCTGGATTTATGACACTCATGTGCCTTTTGAGGCGACAGTGTCCACTAGGAAGCCCTACTGTTATCCTAACGATTTGACGCTTTTGATCCAGTAGGTCTTTCGTGAACTTGGCCGATGGTTCCTTGATAAACTGTTTGGCATGTCTCAGTCTTGGATAGTTGTTCCACCATTCCTGAGACTCTTTTTGCATCCAGTGTTTAATGGATGCCTTGCACAATGCCTTAGCAACTCCACAGAAGGGTTCGGGGCATGTCATTGCCTTATCTGAGCCTTCTCGGGCTAATTCGTCGGCCTTTTCGTTGCCCTAATATTCCTCATGACCTGGAACCCAGGCTAGGGTAACCTTATTTTGACTACTTCTAGACAGTCTTTCACCAGTCGTGATTTGATTTCTGGTGAGAGAAGAGTATATGGCAATAGTTTTGCCTGATACTTGCTGATTTAATATTTCTATTGCACAGTGTTGTATGGCTATTAGTTCAGCCTGGAACACTGTTGTACATTTTCCTAAACTCAGCAAAATCGTTGTTTTCGACTTGGGTCCATAGATTCCAGCATCGGCTCCTTCCTTGGTTTTTGAACCGTCTGTGTACCAGATGAGTTTAGCCTGTACGGGAGGTCCCTGTTTCCAGGATTCTCGGGCTGGTATTTGAATTTGAAATTTTCTTTCAAATTTATATGTGGTTATTACTCTATCAGTAGGCATAGCTAAAATATTATCCCTTTTTACTTGCTGATATAGCCTTGTGTGGTCGGCGCTATGTAGTTGGCTCATTGGGTTTTGTCCCTGCATTATCCTGTGAATAGCTGATCTGGTTTCTCCTTGTATGAAGATGTGCAGTGGCGTGAGATTTAATAATACCTCCATTGCTGCAGTCGGCATAGTGCGCATAGCCCCAGTAGCACTTAGACAGGCAAGCCGCTGAATGCTAGTGAGTTGGACTATTGCACTTGCCCGCGCAGTTTTGGTTACCCATGCCACTGCACCATAGGTTATCATGGGTCTTATTACCCTTGTGTATAACCATATGGTCATTTTGGGGTTTAGACCCCAGTTTTTCCCACATATTCTTCTACAGCTTACTAGAGCTATTGTAGCTTTGTGTGTAAGTTTTTTGAGATGTTGATTCCACGTCAGCCTTTGGTCAAATATGACGCCGAGGTATTTGGCTTCTGTGACGAATGGAATAATTATGTTGTTTAGTACTATTGGTCTTAGTTCTGTAAGTACCCGTTTTTTTGTGAAAGGTACAACTGTTGTTTTTTGTGCGGTAATGGACAATTTGCTTTTTGCACCAGTTATTCACTATGTTTATAGCTGTTTGAGATCGCTCCGAGACTGTGCCTGCAAATCGCCCCTTGACGATAATTGCTAGGTCGTCTGCATATCGTAGGCACTGTTAGCCTTCTTTGGACAATGTTTTGAGTAAGTCGTCCACAAGAACTGACCACAGCATTGGAGATAATATTCCTCCGTGTGAGCAGCCCCGTGTAACTTTTGCTTGTATGGTTGCCTTTTCCAGAGTGAATAAAATATTCCTGTTCTCTAGACAGGCAGTGATCTATTGGCATATTGTAATTGGGACGTTTCTCTCTTAGAGCCTTGGTTATTGAACTGGTTGAGGCATTGTTGAAAGCTCCTTCGATATCTAAGAAAGTGGCTATTGCGATTTCTTTGTCATCTATTGACACTGAAAGCAGCCTGTTTAGATCGTCCAGCACTAGGTCAGTTGACTTTCCTGGCTGGTATGCATATTAGTTGGGATGGAGCGGATTTATTTTTAATATCTCGTCCCTGATATACCTATCTATTAATCTTTCTAGAGTTTTAAGTAGGAAGGAGGTTAGGCTTATGGGGCAATATGACTTTGGCGTTTGGTCTTTGACCCTACCTACTTTGGCAAGGTAGACTACTTTCGCCTTTTGCCATATTACTGGGATATATCTCTGGGCAATACATGCTCTGAAGATTTTGCATAAATGTGGCATTAACATATCTTCACCCTTCTGGAGCAGAATTGGATATATTCTATCCGGCCCCGGGGATTTGTATGCCTTACATTTATTGATAGCCCAACTAATCCTGTTTGGTTTTGTGATCCTGGAGGCCAGCTTCCAGTCTGTTGGAGTTGGTCTGATCCCCCTGTGCCTGTAGCTCTCTTGGTCTCCTGAGTCTAGTCGTGTTAGGATAGTTGAGGCCGAAAAGTGCACCTGAGTTAGTATCTTTAGACTTTCCTCTAGTGTCGTGGTGTAGGTATCGTCCTCTTTTTTGAGGAGTCCTACTTGACTAGATGTATTGTCTTTGGCTATAACTCTATGGATTCTAGCGCTGGCGGTGGTCTCTGAGACCTCTTCGCAGAACTTCCTCCATGAGTTTCTTTTAGCCTTGCATACTTCCTTGTTATACTCTGTGAGCTTGTTTTCATAAGTAGTCCAGTCTTGTGTGGATTTAGCTCTGTTGAATAGCCCTCGCCTCGCCTCTCAGGCTATCTAGGTGTTTATTCCACCAGACTGTTTTTCTCGTTTGGCATCTCCCTTTTTCGGGACAGTTTTCTTGGTAGGCATCAATAATTGCCTTGTTTACCAAGCCTACTGTCCTTTCGAGTGTTTTTGTTTCTCGTACATTGGTGGTTTCCTCCTTGAGAGACTCATCGAGGGATTTTATATATTAGTATTATATTTCCAATATTGCTAGAACTATGAGCAACCGTAGTTAAAAAGTAACACTAAGAATATGACTAATATTAAAATCACACACTAAACACTGTTTTTGTTCTAAATCTACTCTCAAAAGCACAAATGTTTCGTTATTTAAGATAGTAATTAACAAAACCTTATACTTCGACATATACGTAATGAAAAGTGTGTATGCCTCCTGGCAACCATTTTGAACTTTTTGAGTGGACATAGGAATGTCTAATTAAAGGCCTATTTTCTTTCTGATTTATATCTTAAATAACTGCTTTTTTTTAATTAGTAGAAATTTGAGAATGAATTCGTTAAAAAATCCGTAATTAAACTTTTTTTTTGAATAATTTTCTTATTAAATAAAACGACGCCTAAACCTTAGGTAAACAGAAAAATATTCTAAAAAGAACACAATTGGCCTTTTATGTATTTCTGCTGCAGTCATACATTTAATTGACAGCAGAAACATATTTTATCTATTTTACATGAGATTATGTTGAATTTGTGTTTTTTTAATCAAAATACAATTTATTGGTAGAAAAATACTTCGAGACTCAACAAACAAAACTCCAACTGTTGTAAAACACGCCAGTCTTTAAAAAGTTTGCGAAAAGTTGGAGTTTTGTTTTTGTTTTGTCCGTTTAGTGGAAAACCGCCATTAGACTATTATGCATAGTAATAATTCTGAGTATAAGTCTATGAGTGTTTTATAATTTCGGTGTCATCGACATTAACTACTAAAATTATTGGAATCGTGTTCTGTGTAGGCTTTGTTAATGTTTCCCAGCGCCACTTTAAGAACAGTACTGTTGCTTAGAACTCAACATAAATGATCGAGTGGTTTGGCACAAATTTAAACTGCGAGGACAAGTTATTTTGGCTCAATGCACATAAAGGTGGCATTCTTAAAAATAAAACATTGACCCTTAGTGAAAATTTCAATACACATGGCGTGGCATTTATTTAAATAAATTGATCAACAATATTTAGTATCAAGCATTACATTGATAGGAGCCGCCATATTTGTATTTTATTTTAAAATGTCGATAGCTCCATTTGTTTTAGAAATACGATAATGTAAGAGTTTCAGGTTTTTGTTGTAAAAAATGTTTATATGTCTGTTATCTGTTATAATACAAATTTTCAATATACCTGTATTACAAGTTGAAAAATAACTCTAAAATTGAATTCCTTTTTAAAATACATGCATTACAACTTAAAAATAAATAGGTATATTTGAAACTTCCATTTAGGGGTGATTCCACCAAAAGGGGACAATTCGCAAGCGAAAAATGGCAGGACGCTTGTCATCTTAGAATTACATTGGATTAACATTTTTTACTCTAAACATGTAACGAAACATTGTGCGCTATGTTGTCAAGCTCGTTTCTTATATTAAAACACTTTTTTTAAGAAAATTAAAAATTGTAAGACTATGGTAATGATTTGGTGTCCACGGAGTTGAAGACAGCATAAAAAAAGATTATTTGAAAATATTTTATTATAAAAGTATCAAAAACGAAATAATTTTTTTTTAAAAACTTAAATTAGTAATCTAAACTTTATTTCGGTCACATCTAATATCATCGTCAGTTTTTAGTCAATATATTCAGCCATGGACGGAACTCAATAAATATTTCTAATTTTAAGGTTAGGAGGATCAATCTTTTGAACAATATCACTAAATTTGTACCACAGACAGTCTTGGTTTACAGGCCATTTCCAAGAAGTGCACAGACGTCCATATTTTTCCATACAACTAACCACTGCACCTGAGTCTCGAATTTCTCTTATTTGACCTGGAAAAAAGCAAGATCCATATTTTATGAAAACAAAGTCGTGCGTTTCCCAGACTATTTTTTTATCTTAAATCTCATCACTAACAGTAGGACTTTTAAAATCGTGCTTTTCTTCAGTGAAAGAAGAACCTTCATCAGAGCTGGAGCTATATACTTCGCTGTATCTGATTCTTTCGGATCTGATAGGCACAACTATTTCACCTAAGTGGTAGTGAGAACAGATTTCTGAGCTCGTACAATGCAAGCAGCTAAGTCTTCTGCATAAAATGGTATTAGATTTATTTGCATTCCAAGTTATTTGATGAATGGACATAGTTCCTTTGAAAGCTTTGAGATCATTTGGAACTGAGCATTCGCCCTCAATTTTTTGAAAAGAGTCTTCAGTGACAACTTGTAACTGAATTCCAGAGCAACGATTTGATACTTGCTCAACTAGACATTTAAGTTCAGAAATATCTTCTCCTAAAACCACTAGTCGATCAGCAGTACGTTTTATCACTCCACCAATATCGTCTGGAGCTCCCTTTCCATGACCTGCTTTAGAGAAGTTCCAAGTCATGATTGAAGGTTTCAATATATCTACAAACTTGGAAGCAAAAACAAAAAACATGTTTTTGTTCCGATATTAGGTCGTCGACACGTCACTGAGAAAATGCACCTTATTAATGGTTATCAACTTTTCCGAAATTTGTTGAAATAAAGGTTGAAGATCAGCAAAAATTCCAATGTGACCATGACGGGTATTCTCAGATAAACTGCAAAACGAGTTTCTTTTAATTTCTCCATTTTCTGATTTGTAATACCAAACTACGCACTTTGTATCTCTCTATTGTATTTGCACTGGTAGTTTTCAGAAAAATCCATATGCACGAAAACATCTTGTTTTTCTAATGAAGCTTTTAATATGTCGATAAATTGATATTGATGTCTTATGTTTGCAATGTGTTGCATATACTTTGGAAGATCATGCTGAAGAGCTTCACTAACTTCACTAACTAGTATCCATTTTTTATAAACAGTAGATTCCTTTTTATTAATTTCGTTCCAAGTAACTTTTTTTGCTTACGGCTGTCGCATTTTTTTGACACTCTGTTTGACTGTAATTAAGAAACTTCAAAAGTTTCATTTTTGTGAACAGCAGTCTAAAATGTTCATATTTTATACAGAGACAGGTCTCTCTGAGGCTGGTTTTAGGCATCAAAACCCAGAAAGGACGACATGCGCAGAACAGAGAATATCATCATCATCATCTGAATTAGGGCGTGGTTCAAAGCCCACTTGTACTGAAGCTCTAGGCTTATTGTACCCCTCACAGTTTCTATCCCATCAGATTGATTTTCTTGATGAATTCAAGAATATGTCTGATGGGCGCTTTCGCGATTTCTTCAGGTTCCGGATATTGTACAACGAAGTACCATTCCCGTTCCCATTTAAGGTTCCGGCAATGGCATAGTATGTGAATAGGAGTTTCGTCCTCCTCTTCACATATTCTGCATAGGGAGTCATCAGATATCCCTAAGAGATTTAGGTGTCTTCTAAGGCCGCAGTGTCCCGTAAGGAGTCCTATTACGGCCTTGAGTTCGCTTCTGCTAAGGTTTAGCAGTTCATGTGGTCTGCTCGTGGATGGCCCCTCTATGAATCTTTTGGACTGTCTAAGTCCAGGAAGTTCTATCCAGAGCCTATGGTGTTCTCTTTTTATTTGTTCCTTTAACACCCATTTAACATGTTGGTATGAGATACCACATGTGGGTTCTGGTCCAATAAGAGACAGAGAATAACTTACTTTGATATTATGGGTCACCTTTGCCTGCAGCAACTCGACTGCATTCATCTCTTAGATAAAATTCATAAATAGCTGTCTTCCAGTCCTTAAAAAGTCTTTTTCTAGATAAGATTTTATCATTCGACTCTTTAAGCATTTTATAAGAAGCAAAGTTTTTCATTCTTCCAAGAAGTCGGTATTTCTTGATTATTTCTCCAGAAACTAATTTTCCGAATGATTTTCAACGTTTTACAGATTTAATATTTTTAAGAATTTTTGAAACTTGTGCTGTTAATGCTTCTGAAAACAGCACTTTTCTCTCAATGTAGGACATTATAACCTTTAAGGCTCTCCTAAACTTACGATTTAGGACTCAACTCTTGGAATTTTTCCCTATCAGCTTTATGTTTATCTTTTTATCTATAAAATCGTTTCTTATACTTTTCTAATTCATTTTTAGTTTTTTTTTTTTTTTAGCTTTAACTTCAATTTTTGAATATGTCTGTACATTTTAGCTTTATTTTTTCGGGCTAACTTTCTTCCAGAATCCCTTCTTGAACTTCTCGGAGTCTGATTAAAGTTTGGCTCGTTCAAAAATGGACTGGGTGGTGGCGAATTGCGTTCCGCAAACTCCATTGCAGCTATCATAGTTTTCTTAGATTTTCTATATTTCTAAGAAGCTTTTCTCCATCTTCTTCTAATTATGCGTTTTTTCTGTTTGATTCCTCGCTAATGGTTTTTATTTTCCTTGTTTTTTTCTCCGGTGGTATCTTTCCCTTTCTGATGCTTTCGCCTTTTCGTATCCCTCAGGATTATTTTTAATTCACTCTTTTCTCCTTCTCTTAGCTTCTCTCTTTTGCTTCCTTCTTTTTTTAATATCTTTGTCAGTTTTTCCCATTTTGGATCTGAAATCAAAAAGTGTATCAACCCCATGCTTAACAGTCAACTCCATGGTCTAGTAAAGTACATGGAGTTGATGTCCATGGAGGTGACTTTTTTATGTAAAAAATGCAAAATCATCGACTAAGAGGTATTTAAGGAAGATCTCCGATTGGGTATGAGAGGTGTACAATATGTATAATAGAAAATTGAATTTAATAATTAAACATTAATTATAATTTCTGTAAAAAATTGAACCATGGGGTTGACTAAATGAAACGATACTCACCTCGTAATGAATGGTTAGCGTCCTTTATGTCCGTAAAAAACAACACTATCACCTTCGACTGCTTGGAAGATACTGATACGTGATTTTAACATGAACATTCAAAGGATAGACTCCCCACCACAAGCGAATTTCATTTGAGAAATACTAAGTTTAGACGTGCCATGGAGTTGATCTAATTCTTAGGGACAGTCCTTTTTATTAGTAAAAAATATCATTAAGTTTTTTTTTTCTAACAAGTAATCAAATAATTCAAGTTTACTGAATGTTCAAAATGCATTAAAAAAGCAAATTCAATCAGGGACAGGACATGGAGATGATTATAGAGCATATTTCAAGGTTAAAAAATACTTCACATTTTGTTTTTGTTTCTTTTTTAAATATGGGATTAATATTACAGGTTAATATTAATTGGTCAGAATTGGCATATAGTCTTCAGTAATTCCTGGTCAAAAAATAATGCACAAAGACACTGATTTGTCCCCTTTTGGTGGATTCACCCATAGATCATTTTTCTTAATTATTTATGATGAAGGCGTTCATTCTTTTTAAAATATTTAAATTTGACATGTATTCATGTAATTTGACAAATAAATAAAACGTTGTGAAACACTAGCACGATAAAGTTCGATTTACAAATTTAAATTAGTTTTTTAAATTTATATCATGATAAAATATTGACCATTGTCATTTTTAATTCGTCAATTGAATTATAAACATTAAAAATAGACCAAATTTGTGAAAATTGCCCAACTACTCGGTAAACGCAATTGCTTCCTAAGACGCTCGTAATACAATGACTAAATTAACAATGGATGGGTAACTGTGGTATTGATTTAATTATGTAAAGTATTTGCATGTTCAGCGATGTGAATTCGACTAAAATCTATTGTAGATGTCTTTAAGAGAAATGTAACGTACCTACAATAATATACCTGTTTATACATGTAGGAAATATATTCTTGCCATAGGGATGATGTGGTGTGAGAGCATCCAAATATTATCCATTTGGAACATGCAATCTTTACATCATACAGGGTAGTATTTCATTAGAAAAAAGATATATGAATCATTATATGCAAAAAAGGTACTTCAGAATTTTTTTACCAAACATGTTTTAATACAGATTTACATTTTTGTCACCTAGATATAGGGTCGCCAGATTTACGAAAGGTAACAGCGGGAAAATGGTGACGACTGGGGATGACGTAAAAAACAGGTATTTTTTATCATATCAGGACTATTTTTGTGATCTAAAAAAATGTCCTTCGCTTATATTCTTTTATAAAACATAAAACAGATCCTTTTACTGGCGAGCTTCTCAAAAAAAAAGGTTGTACCTTCCAAAAGTTTCTTCAATTTCTTTACTTATAACTTTGGATTTAAAAAGCATGTATTTTGAATAAAAAGCTTGGCATTTAGGTAAAAAGCATTGCATTTAGGTAAAAAGCGTGGCATTTAGATAAAAAGCGTGGCATTTTCGTACTTTAGCGTAACGCATGCCAGCGAGTGAAAAAGCGGGACAATTACGCCTGTAACGATTGTTTGATTTAAAAATAATTTATTTATTTAAAACAGTTTATTTATTTACACTATTACTAATTAATGTATTTATAATACTTATTATACTATTATAATTCACACTTCTAATTTATTTATTTTGCAATGTATCTTTACTTGACAACTTTTGTATGTAAACTTCAACTGAACTACTAAACAATGTCGCGTTATTTATACAAAGCCAGCCCTGCTCTACCAAAGTCTCGGACGTCTATACTCTGTTTTTAAACTAGGAGGAGCGAATTGAAAAGACGCATTTACACAGGGAAAAGTAACTAGATTTGCTACTAAGAGCGAGTTTCGAAATATAGTCGTGTTCAAAATTTATGAAATAATTATCTTTATCGGCCTTAGTCGGTGAACGGCCAATGAGAGCGGTTAAGAAACGAATAAATGTCATAGAAGTAATTTTTTAATTGGTCCCAGACAACGGTCTCGAATTTCACATTGTGATCTGAAATGTGTGTCTAAAACGAAATGTCACTGTCAAATTAAAGTCAATATGGTTGTTGATTGATGTCAGAAATACTTTTTTCTTGCTTTTGAAATCGACTTTTTGAGAATAACTATGATCTTTTTAAAATGGATATTAAATATTTAAGAAAATTGTTAATGGAATATCCAGATGTAGCCAGGTATAAAATATAAAGATCTGTTTACATTTTTAAGGATATATTTGTAATAGGTATAAAAAGTAAAAGTTAATCAGTGAATGACAAGTGGATCACACAGTAACTGGTATCTCTTCTATGAGTAATGTGGATATTATGGCTTATTTAGTGTTAACCCATGGTTAATGCGCTAGAGGGCAAATAAAGACATTCAAAAGTTTACAGGCCTACGAGTCAGAATTTGTTTTGAAAACTGGAACCAACATTTTCATAACACTACATGTCAACATATATTTTTTAAAGTGAACTATTCATACATACCTATGTATTAATTTTAAGTATTTTTAAAATATTTTTTGTGAAAGTATTGTTAACTCATTGTGCCAAATTAAGATTATCCCTAAAGTATTAGATGGTGTTTTAAATGTTATAACAATTTTGTAAATAGTTTTATTCTATTCCAATAAATAAAATTTGCTTGAATATTTAGTTACATTTTAATCATTTTGGTTAGAAATTCATCAATTTTTAGTTTTAAAAAATCAGTAATAAAATTATTTTTTTCTAAAATACTTCGGAATTCATCTCTTCATGGTAATCTCCCATCTTTTTACTTTCAAAAACCAATAATGCATTTTCTACAAAACCTTCAGAATCAGCATGTAATATAATAAGGTGTCTTCCCTTTCTTGTAAGGCTTTTCAGGAATTGCTACCTTTAATAGTACTCAGTGTAGAAGGATCCATAATTGTAGATTTTCAATACAATTGCTTACTGAAGAACTATTATTTACGAAATAAAGTAAAAAACCAGCAGCCCTGGTAAAAAACTAAGTAATGGATGAGATATCAAATTATAAAATGTCAGAACTGTCAACAATATCAATTATTAGCTGATGTTCATGCTAAAAAGTAATGTGTGAAACTGACTGTAAGCTGACCAATCAGAAGGCTACAGAATTGCCAACTTAAATTCAAATGGCTCCTCTTAATTTAAAAACAGAGTATAGAAACTTCTCGAAATTCTTTATCCTCGCGCCGGACTGCGAGAGAAAACATTCGAGTCGATTTCTCAGGTCTCGAGGATGTTATCGATCTCGCCAGCAGACCAAACACCATGATGCGGTAAGGTAAATAAAGAACAGAGTCGGCCTTAGGCGATTACACGACAACGCCTAAAGCGAGAATTCTGGAAACCCTACCAATAATCATCATTTACATGTCTTCATAGCAAATAAATAAGAATGAAGGTTTTTGATAAATGTAATAAGGGTACATTGCTCCTTCGCACTGTAGCCTAATTCCTTGTGTTTCTACTCTTGTTTTTTTGGCTCAACTTTCGTTTAGCTGAAATCCATTATGCAGAAACTATTTTCGTGGCAACAACTGTGATGGCAATTAATAAACAAAAATCCAAATCCTGTGGTGGGGAAATGCCTAGTTGCTAAGTTGTAGATGATTACGGTTTTTATTTTATTTTATTTCATATGGCTGAAATCAGTTATGTAGAAACTGTTGCCATGGGCAGGCTTGTCATAGAAACTACTAAAGAAAACTTCAAATAACGTGGCGAGGAAATGCATAGTTGCTAAATTGTTGGGGATTTAATTTAACTGAGTTTAGCTGAAATCAGTTATAGAGAAACTGTTTCCATGGGAATCCTTGTTATGGTATCGACTAAACCAAAACCAAAATTTTATGATTTAACTTTCTAATCAACCGCTTACGCGTTGACAGTGCTTACTCTATTAAATTTATTGATATGAATTTTGTACTTATTTTTTTAAACTGGCGCCCGATCGATTTTTTGAAATCCCCGATAAATTAAATCATGTATAACTTGGAAAGTCGTTACCATGACAAATGTTTCTAACCAAACATTTAATAAAAACATCATTAAATTTGACATATGCGTTTTTATATTTTTAGTTTTTATCTTAATATTGTTTGCAAGTCATAAAAAACAGTTTAAAGATATATAAACGATTATTTTTTTCGTATAACTTTTAACCAATTAAAACGTTCAATTTAGTTAAGTTACCTCGTATAATTTCGATAATACCTGATTATACATAGAGTAGCTCCACCAATCAAAAATATTTACAATAATTTTATTTCCGTAGTAACCACATCGACAACAATACACTAACTAACAGGACCGTCAAATTTTGACGTTTATCAATAATTATTTTCGTTGTACCAATATGTATTTAAATTAATAAATTGTTGATATTTACTTAATTTACTCAAAAAATAATCGTATCAAATACAATACGTACTTCAAAATAAATACGGTTATACATCTCAAAATTCCTGCATAATTACAAATCGTGTCAGTTTGACAGAATAATCCTCCCGCTTCGCGGTCGGATTATTTAAACTGTCAAACTGACACTCTTTATAATTATGCAACAAGTTATCGATGGATAACCTGATTATTTTGAAGTACTTATAGTATTACTACTGATTATATACTTGATACCTGTTATCTAATGGGGCATGTTCAAAAATTTTTAAATTTTTTTATGAATAATAGAGTTCAAAATAAAGCTACATTAAAAAAAATTTATCTATTCATTTGCCCGAGTTATTCATTTTTTAAAATTTATGACGTCACCGGGAATAGACCAATAGGAACTAGCCACACAACGTTGCCAGTTAGACGGTATACGAAAAGTAATATACGTTCGTCTGTGTGTACCGTCTTACTTTTAGACTTCTAAAATATCGTTAAACAAATATCTTTTAAATATAAAAATTCAAATGTTTTTAAAAGTATTATTTATGTTTAAACTTTCACCATATTTATAGTTTCATTGTTTTAAAAAACGACAACTAATAAACAAGAAAATGGAAATGCGGCAGCACTGCATGTGTCATCTGTGAATCAAGAATTTTTGTGTTGTCAATCGATAATTATGTCAAAAATGAAAATGGCCGATTTTAGTTTTGGCAAAAAATCCTATATCTCAGAAACGAGTAAGATTAAAAGCTAAGTATGGAGGTGTTTTGAACTCAGCTAAGTGTACTCTATCTCCCATTAAGCTGTGTCCGTTTAAATTTGAAACACCCTGTATAATAACTAATAATTGGCGCTTAATAGCATTTCTTAACTATCTCACAATTCCATTTCTTTGAATAATAACCTGATAAAATAGCTAAGCGACAACAAACTTTTCGCTCAAAATGCACATGATTTTTTCTACGATCATCATTTTTTAAGAAATATATACAGTGAGCACCATAAGTCTTACTCCCCTATCTAACTCGTTACAGGAGTCTTATTAGGAAAATCGCCGAGACACGTCGATTTTTGATTTCTACAATGTACATTTTTGTATAAATAGTTTACCCTTAATTTCATCCCTTACTGGAGGGGAGCAACCCTTTCGAAAAATTTAAATGGTATGGGGTGGTGAGTGATAGCTCATTTGAAAGAGGGTTTTATTCTCTATTCAATTGTGTAAAAAAATTTGAAATTTGCTTCATTATTTCTCGACTAATTGTTGTTTCAGAATAACGGAAATTAACGTAGCGCACTCATCCTTAGAATTAAAATTCGGCCCTGCATGATTTCGGTTTTGGTTCAGACGTGAAGTAAGACTTTCTGCCATTAGAAGGTCACTGTTAGTCTAGTTGCTTTCCTATTTTGTGAGGTTTTGTTATTTTTAAACATTAATAAATCAACACGTAATAAATCAAATTTCAAAATTTTTTGCACGGTTGAATAGAGAATAAAACCCCCTTTCAAATGAGCTATCACTCACCACCCCATGCCATTTAAATTTTTCGACAGGGTTGCTCTCCAGTAAGGGATGAAATAAAGGGTAAACTAATCATGCAGAAATGTACATTGTAGAAATCAAAAATCGACCTGTCTCGGCGATTTTCCTAACAAGGCCCCAGTAACGAGTTAGTTAGGGGGGGTAAGACTTATGATGCTCACTGTATAATAACTAGAAATTTGTCGTAAGTAGTGTATAATATGTTGTCTATACCTACGTTAATCATAAAACAACAGTTAATATTCAAAGTCCTTGTTAACTTGGATAATATAAAAAAAAACATGTAACTACGTACAAATCACTTAAAAATCATTTATTAAAAATAAATATTATATTAAATCTAATTTAAATTAGGCGAACAACAAAGCTGTCAACTTTGTTGCTCGTCGAGCGAAAAAACTGTCAATTCGCCGAAAACATCAACTTTGCAGTTGGATTTCGCAAAAACCTACTTTGGATAGTGATCGTAGAAAAAATATTTTTTTGTTCTATTTTAATTTACCATTATAATATTTTTCAGTATCATCTTTGGCACTGTTCCTTGTAGTATACGCTAATCCTGAGGATAAAAACTGGATATGGGGTGATAATAATAGAGAAAAGGGTAGAAATGCTGGATTAAGGTAAGTAAAATTCAGTATTTTTGCACTTATTAATCTACCTTAAATAATTTTTCTAATAACCTTTGTAATTGTAAAATAACAAATATTATTTTTTTATATTATTAGAGAAGAAGCTTCGGCGAGGTATGAAATCTACGAAAATGATGATTTAAATTCCTATCCAGGGATAGGGAATGGATTTGGAGGTGGATCCGGAACAGGTCAATTTCCAGGACCAATTCTAAATAAGTAAGTAAATAACAATGTAAACATTGAAAGTACCAAACCGCCAAATGTTCTACCGGAAACATAACAATAAGGAAAAGAAGAAGAATAATAATCTTTATTTTTCTTAAAATTAGGCATTCCAACGACCTGTCCAAATGACTCCAGTGGGGACTGACAGTTTAGATATGGCAACCCTGTTGTCATGTTGTCATTAACAGGGTCAATGATACATATATAGTTATATAGATTGCTCAAAGCTGGTCGTTTGCGAGCAGCCATATTGCCTGGCAAATATTTATTAATTTGAATCGGTTTAGCAAAAATGTGTTTTAAAACCAATTTTCAGCCTTTAGATATTTAAAAAAAAATAATTGCTTACATTTTTACTTCAAAGCATAAACTTATGTTTATTTTGAAAAATATGTAATTATCTATTTCAACCTTGTCAAATCACCAGGCCTACAGGGTTGCCATAATTTTGCCATATCATAACCTGTCAAAACCCACTGGTAGCCATTCAGTTTGGAATGCCTAATATATAAAATTTTATAGCTCGTCAATAAATATTACAAATGGTTACATACGAGTAGGTAATAATTACAATATTTCAATATCAATAAAAAAAAAAGTAAAGTAAATAAGTCAAGTAAAATCAGGGTTACCACCTGTCCTTTTTAAAGCTTAAAATGTCATTTTTTACGGCATATCTGCTGTTTTACTCTTTGATATCTTTGAAAGGGACCTAGCTTGTACAAAAATGTACAAGCTAAGAACCTTTTTTTTTAAGTTCAGTAGAAGGATTGAGACCCTTTTGTATACCAGGTCCCCTATCGGCATCATAGTCCTTTTTGCACTTTTCAAAAAGTAAAATAGAATTAGTTCCTTCCATATTATGCAAGTTTGAAAATCTTATAGACCGATGAAAATATTTTTAATTAACATTTAATTTTATTCATGGGCAAACTTTTAAGCTATAGGGGTAGCATATTAAATAGCTCAATATTACATTTCTTTATTCTTTTCAGTCTGTATTGGAGAGGGGTATTAAATTTTCCCTATTGTAGTTGTGTACATGAGAATGTGAAAAAGATATTAGAATTATTTCTTAAGAAAAGCAGATTCTGATAGATTATTTTTGCGTAGTGTCATTATTGTACGTTCTAATAAGAGACTTTTTAAGGTCTGTCGGTACAAATTATCGTCTTTTTTTAAATAGTTCTTTTATGGATAAAGGTAAACCAGATACTTTTTATGATAAAAATGAGACAGATAAAAAATTAAATCCTTATTTCTTTTTATTTTGTAGAAAATTCGAAGTACGTAAATATTCTCTAATTCTTTATTGGTTAGTCTGAATAAAAGTAATCATGCAATTGCTCTTATTCCTTATTGGGAAGAACAAATTAGTTTCTGAGAACATTAGACAAGGACTAGAAATTTTAGTTGTTATTCATTTTAAGCAAAAGCAATTACTTAATTTTATTCATCATAAACGTGAACCATATTCATAAATATAGTTTTTCAATTAGATTAATAAACTTTCAAAAACTCTCCAAAACAGATAAATTACTCTAAAAACAATGTAACACTAGACTAAAATAAGAATTGAGATAAAGGAGTGGGTGTGTGTACCAACGAGAATCGGAATCTAATTACTAAATTTACAAATTCGACTCTCGTAGCTATGTGCTTCGGTGGCCTAATTGCTAAAGGCGCCGAGGCCTATACTCGGGAAGATCCAAGTTCAATCCTCAGTCGTGCACTTATTTTTTCTTTCTTCATTTTTCAGCGTTATCAATTTTTCTTTGGTTTGTTTTCACTTTGGGAATATGAGGATACGTAGGGAAAATTGGGAATTATATTTTCATATCTCCAAAGAGTTGCGTACTTTAGTTTTCGGATCTACAAATGTTGATTTTTAAAATTCTTATCAATGTCGTACATCCGGTGCAACAACGTCGTAAGTGCAAAAATCTATTTTTTACAAGGGACTCATTTGAAAGTTTTGCTCGTATAAACTGAAATGTATTAAAAGTCAAATTATTAAATAATTGCTCATTTATTGTATATGTTACATTTACCACATTGCTGTACCAGATGTAGAAGCAGATTAGGCACATTTTGTGACTAAAAAGTCACTTTCTAATATTTTTGCACTTATGTCGTTGTTGCTCCGGATGTGCGATGTGTAAAATTATTAGGATTCGATGACTACCTACTCTTAAGGGATAAATTTAAATATAGACACTATATCTATATCTATATCTATATTCTACTGGAAATTTCATCCAACCTATCAACCTAAATTAAATTTAACGAGATATCAAAACCGAGACCCTTTTAACAAAATGCTTTTTTTTCAATGAAATACCATTTTCAGGGATCTCTCGGTGAAACACTATATCAAATCGAACGTATCGGAGACAGTATCGTTCCCGAATAAAATAAATGATCCTACAGGGCATTAACTTTCAAAATATATTTTTCGTGGAATGCTATATATCTTCCAAGGATATTGTTTTTCATAGCTACAGACTGGCAGAAAAAAATGGCACAATAGAAACAATTACCGATTTATGTATTACGTAGTGTTCAAGGATTTAACGTCTATTCGTGAAATATGGATTTTATTTTACTATTGTCGCACTGTGCAGACCTCGAAAATCATCTTAATATTGTTATGAAAAATAATAGCTATAACTTTATAGATTTATTTGTTTTTAAAATGGGACATCCAACATTTTAAGCATGACATCTAGAAAATCCGGACGAATAGGAAAATGTTCATTATCTCGTGAGATTTAAAATGTAATGTATTTTAATTAGATTAATATAGTAAATAAAATAAATTAATTAATTATATAAAATGGTTATTACAAAAAAGAGAATGTGAAAGCTATATTTGCTTATACAGTGAGCATCATAAGTCTTACCTCCCCCCCCCCCCTATCTAACTCGTTACTGGAGGCCGAAAATCGCTGAGACACGTCCATTTTTGATTTGTACAATGTACATTTTTGCATGATTAGTTTACCCTTAATTTCATCCCTTACTGGAGGGGAGCAACCCTTTCGAAAAATTTAAACGGCATGGGGTGGTGAGTGATAGCTCATTTGAAAGGGGGTTTTATTCTCTATTCAACCGTGCAAAAAAAATTGAAATTTGCTTCATTAATTCTCGACTAATTATTGTTTCAGAATAACGAAAATTAACGTAGCGCACTCATCCTTAGAATTAAAATTCGGCCCTGCATATCGGTTTTGGTTCAGACGTAAAGTAAGACTTTTTGCCATTATGCTTGGATATTAACTGCACGTTTTTATTGATGTTTTTGCATTGTTTTTGTTATTTTTAAACATTAATAAATCAACACGTAATGAAGCAGATTTCAAAATTTTTTGCACGGTTGAATAGAGAATAAAACCCCCTTTCAAATGAGCTATCACTCACCACCCCATGCCATTTAAATTTTTCGAAAGGGTTGCTCCCCTTCGGTAAGGAATGAAATTAAGGGTAAACTATTCATACAAAAATGTACATCGTAGAAATCCAAAATCGACGTGTCTTGGCCATTTTCGTAACAAGTAACGAGTTAGATAGGGGGGTAAGACTTATAATTCTCACTGTATAATACAACTAGTAGTATTGGGATTAGCCATAGTCCATAGTCCATGGTTAGTGGGTGGATACATAACATGATCTCAAAGCGAGCAGTAAACATAAGTGTAGAAGTGTGAATATAAGAGGCTTGGTTGCGAGGGGATATCCTACACAATAGCATATGCAGATGACCTGGTCATTCTGCAAGCAGGGAATTTTGAGAACATAATCTGTGAAAGAATTCAAGTAGCTCTAAAAACTATAGAACAGTGGTGCAAGGACCATTCACTGTCTATCAATCCTAAAAAGACAGAAATAGTCCTTTTCACAAGGAAACGGATAAAAATGGAATTGAAACCTCCAGAACTCCTAAACACAAAACTAAACTTTGCAACAGAGGTGAAGTACCTAGGTCTCACCTTTGACAGCAAGTTAACATGGAACTCGCATTTAGAAAAAAAAGCATACATTGCTTATGAACAATGCCGCCGAACCGTGGGGCACACCTGGGGTTTCTCCCGCAGAGTCGTTGAATGGACTTACACGGCTATCATAAAACCTATGCTAACATACGGTGCAGTTGTCTGGGTACCGAAAACTCAAAAATTAACAGCTATCCGTAAACTAGACCAAATTCAAAGAACAGCATGTCTCAACATAACAGCAGCCATGAAAACAACACCGACCAGAGCCATGGAAGTCATTCTTAGTCTCACTCCCCTTGATATTTACATCAAGAAGGTTGCTCCGGCGATAATGACACGCCTCCGCACGGTTGAAATAGAACCTGATGTAGGATCTAGTGAAACGAGACGTCGCTTTTGGCAGGAGGCGTTCGATACGCTCCCACTGCTTCAAGCGAACATGGATTCCATCTCACCGAGATATATCTTCCCTAAGCCATATAATGTTATAATAGAATAAATAGAAAAACCAGAAGTGATAGTTACTATTGATATCTACACCGACGGTTCTAAAACAAGGCTCAGGATGTGGAATATACTCCAGATTATTAAACCTAAACATAAAATGGACTGTGAGCAATAGTGCCAGTGTAGTTCAAACAGAGCTAATGGGGATTCTCATAGCAGCAAAAGAAATAACTGGAAACAATATCACTGGAAGGAATATGCTCATCTATACAGATAGCAGACAAGCACTACTCACCCTGAACAGACCACGAATTTACTCAGGGCTAGTACTAGAATGTCACGAAGCTTTGGCCGAAGTATCCATCAACAATGTGGTCAGCTTAAGATGGATCAAAGGTCACGCCACATCGAAAGGAAACCGTCTTGCTGATTCACTAGCCAAGAAAGCAGCCAACCAAATACTTTTTGAACCTGGCCCTTCTATTGGCCTGACAAAATTAGTAGTGACAGACCTAATTAAAGAACATTCCCTTGTGAAATTCAAGGAAAGATGGGATGATACAAGAAACTGCAGAGTTGTTAGGGAGCTCTTAAGTTGTCCTGACAACACTGCAGCAAACAAATACTTGACTATGACTAGACAGAATCTGCGCCTAGTCACAGGCATTCTGACTGGTCATTGCCAAATACGGAAGCATCTCCATATCATGGGGCTATCAAAATCCGTACTCTGCAGAGGGTGCGAACAAGAATGATGAGACTATCGAGCATATCCTTTACGATTGCTCGACGCTCTTATTTATTAGAAGATTTGTATCAGCTAACACTGGCCGATATAAGAGAAGCACCTGTTGGCGACGTTGTCAACTACATTAAATCTGTAGGCTGGCTTACGAGCTAGGAGGTGCCTATCATCTTAGGAGGATACGCAATGGGTCTAATGAGGCCTAAGTGCCGTGGGGGGTAACCTACCCTCCACACATTACAGAAACAGATACAGAGATCCATAGTCTCGATAGCAAAAGTTATATTCAAAAGAGTATGTTACGAATTAATAAAATATAAAAACTCAATAATTTACAGTTGCAGTACTAAATCAATGACAAAACGTGACAAGCCTACTAGATCTTTACAGCATTAACGTACAAAGCATGATTATCAGCTATTAGTCAAGTACGGTATATGATTATCGTTTATTTATCAACTAAAAGTAGACGAAATTATTACGTTGTCAGCGATATAATCAAATAATTTATTAAAACTAGTAATGTTTTAAGCTTGGAGAGACTAGGGCCTCTAAACGTAAGAGGTGCAAGCATCCAGCTTAAGGGGGAGGTAAAATATCTCGGGGTTATGATTGACTCGAGACTTACCTGGAACCAGCATCTAGAAAAAACTACAAGGAGAGCGGAAACCTCGTTAATGATGGCAAGGCGATCCTTTGAAAAAAAATGGGGGTTAAAACCAGACATGGTATATCGGGTTTATAACATGGTGGTGAGACTGATAATAACATACGCAGCTTTGGTGTGGTGGCCAAAGACACAGCAAAGGAAAGCAATAACGAGGCTAAGCAAGGTACAAAGACTTGCCTGCCTCGGAATAACGGGGGCAATGAAAACAACCCCTACAGCTGCAAAGGAAGCACTAATAGGACTCCCACCTCTTCACTATGTGATCCAAGGGGAGGCAAGATTAGGTGCTTACAGATTAGGGAATACACTGGGAAATCTTGACATTAGGCCAGGTCACATGAGTATCTCAAGCTTAGTGACAGGAAACGTGCTAGACATGAGCTCAGACCACATAGCCAAGTGGTACTCTTTTAATACTCCATTTGAAGTTTTAATACAGGAAAGAGCGGAGATCAGCATAAGGGAGCCCAATACCCAACGACAGAAACAAACCTGGTATACAGACGGGTCTAAGACTGCGGAAGGCACTGGGGCGGGAGTATTCTCCAAAAACCCTGATACTAACCATAGCTATGCTATAGGAATACATTCCTAGGTATTTAAGGACGAGGTATACGCAATTTTGCAATGTGCAAGAACTAACAATGAAAAAGCTGTCGAAAATCAGCATATTCAAATAATGTCAGACAGCCAAGTGGCACTTAAGGCCATATCGAGTCAGAAAGTTACGTCGAGGCTGGTATGGGAATCCATCGAAGAACTAAGAACACTGGCAGACCGAAATAGAGTAAAACTATTTTGGGTGCCAGATCACCAAGGGATCGAAGGGCGATTTTTACATAAAAATGTAAACAATTTGGTCTCTTAGTTGTAATGTCTTTGGAAAAAATCAAAAATGACGATTTTCGTTTAATTCAATATTATTTTTAAAGGTAGAAAAAACTTTGATTACCTAGCTGTTTCATTAAAGGCCAAATACTGCTTAACATAGCAAATTTTGAAAACTACATTTCATCTTTAAAGGACCTCCTCAACTATTTTTTTGTAAATATGAATCTGTAGTATTAATTTCGTCCATTTTTCTCTATGCAATCACGTATCACACTTAATTTTTGTAATAAAGGTTATCAATTTTAACTATAATATCCATTTTAGGATTTTTGTAAGGATTGTTTTATTTTATTTTCACCCTAAATACGTATCATTATTTCTAAATAAAATTCATTATAAATTAATTATATTAAAAACTATTAAATACCTTATTTACCATTTTCTTAAATTACTACAAACAGAAAATAAAAAAAAATATTCAAACTACAACTATTGAATTTGTTATAAACAACTAGAAATAATACACATTTTTGTTTTAATTATGTAATAACTACTCTATAAGAAATACTCTGTAAGAATTACTCTGTAAGAATTGCTCTGTAAGAATTACCCTGTAAGAATTACTCTGTAAGAATTACTCTGTAAGAATTGCTCTGTAAGACTTGCTCTGTAAGAATTACTCTGATAGAATTACTCTGTAAGAAGTACTTTGTAAGAATTTCTCTGTAAGAATCAGTCTATAAGAATCACACAAATTGTCCTTATTTGTTAAGGATATTTTATAATTCTTCTAATAATATTTTCGCTTGCATTGCCAACTATTTTGGGATTATACACTTACAAAAATTACTACAAAACTTAATCAAAAAGTGATACATCTTTGGATAGAGAAAAAAATTGGGAATTTCAAAAATGAAATGAAAATTAATAATAATTAAAAAAAATATTTAATGGACGTAGTTTTAAAAATGTTTAGCATTTTAGTATAATTATTTGATTATCTTATGTTTATTTTACTTTTTATTATTTCCTAGTGATTTTCGCTGGCTCAATACGGTCATCCAGTTTCTTTTAAAATTCATTCTCAATAAGTAAGTCAATAAGTTAAACTCGTAGGTGCTGGTAGATGACATTCTAAAAAAAAAGAATGAAGAATTGGTAAAGGCTCCAAAGGTGTCAAGTTGGTGAAGGCTATATCACACATTTACAGATATCTAGGTTTAGGTGTCAAAATTTAGCTTGAGCTCATTTTTCAAGTTTATAAAATTAAAATAGCTAATTATTTATTCAGCAGCAGCACATACTGAATAAAAAACTTTCATTTATGTCACTAGTACCAGTATATCACATATCTCATGACTTTCCTGCTTAAATGTATTAAAGAAGAAGCCCATTAAAAAAGGAAGAAAATACATTAAACAGCTGTACTACGTTACGAACATACATTTATTTGCCTTTTTAGAGTTTAGAGGTTTTACAGCATTTGACGTTGACAAAGCTAAGGTCAAACCTTGTATCATGCCAAAACTGTGCAGCTTATTTTAAAATTTTGGGTATTTGATCCTGTTTTCTCCTGTCTGTAAGAGTGATGTTTTTCCAAATAACTGTACAACTGCTCATATCCAAACAGTACCAGAAAATGGATTCCATCAACATAAAGCAAAGGCTGACCTTTTAACTTTTGTCATAGAAGGTTTCTTTGTACGGACTACCAAAAAACTCTGTAAATATTATCACCGTATCCTCAAAATCAGTATACACCTCATTGTTCAGATTTAGGCCCAGTAATATTCCTATATTCTATGGTCTAGCTTCGAACGTTTAGTTTTCGAGAGTGGCTATCGTTAGGGAACCTTCTTCTCTAATAAGTTTTTCTTTCCGATATAAATATATGTATAGTACTTAAGAAAAAATTCTTAAGAAGTATAGAGTCAAACTGTCCTTTCCGATAGATTGAAAATTATCAAAATTTTGAGGTGAAGGTTAAAGTTAAAAAGGTTCATCGAATTACAAATTGATACATGTTTATAAAGAACCATTAACAAATGATATTTTAAATTATAGGCCCGGTAATAATCCAAATGGAATCTATAATGTTAACAATCAATTATACGGAGAAGGGCATGGCCAATATTATCCCAATGACAGACCAGGACCAGGTAGTCTAGCAGGACCAAGTTCCTCATTCCAAGGAGAAGGTCCCTATAAAGAATTCGATCGTTGCAAATGTACTGAAAGATTCAATTGTAACAGTCCAGGAATATCTTACGTATGTAAAATTTGTATATAAAAAAAATAATATATATAATAGCGCAGATTTTTCCGTAGGGTCATTGTGATGTTGGAAAACGTTATTGTTGTTACTCTACGACCAAAAAAGGACAAGTTGGTGGACCTTTGCCTTCAAGGCCTGTTCATTCTATAGAAAATGGAATTTTAGTCGGACCTGGTGGGCCAGTTGGTGGTAACCATTTTCAAAGACCAATAGGAGGTGGATTTGGGGAACACGATAGGCCTGTAGGTGGATTTGGAGAGCACGGTAGACCTATAGGTGGATTTGGACAACAAGTTAGGCCAGGAGGATTTGGAGGACCATTTAGACCAGATGCCGGAGGTTTTGGAGGAAGACCAGGATCTGGAGGTTTTGGAGGAAGACCAGGATCTGGAGGTTTTGGTGGAAGACCAGGATCAGGAGGATTTGGACTTGGAGGTAATTATGTCATTTATTGTCCAAATGGCCCGTTAAGGAATGTTCCAAAAATTTGATTACTGATATAATAATTTAACGTTTGAGTTTAGGATGCATTATGATTCAGTGGTTTCATTTATTCAGATTCATAACTTTAGAAGAAAAAAAAATTTATTGCAACGAAATTTTAAAAAACATTTTACAATTTGGTACTCTTTACTAGTTTTTAAATGTATTTCCTCTGTTTTAGGACAAAATTTATATTCCCCTAACCAAGGAATTTTAGTTGGCCCTGGTGGACCGTCAAATAGGCCAAATTTTGGATACAGTCAAGGATTTGCAAGATCAGCTATTGATAAAAAGGATTAATTCATTCATTTCTAGGAATATGGAAAAGATGTAAAATTAAAAAAATTGAAGAAAATATTATATGTTTTAAACATAAAATAATTTTCTTCTCTTATTATTTGTAACGTTCTTACAATAAGGTACTTTTAAATGTACTTATCTATACACTTGATAATAATATAAAATTTGGCAAAGTGATAAAGAGACCAAATAAAATAGAACAATAGGAATATTTACAGTTGAAAGATTCATGCCCATGGCACATTAGTGTAGAATTTACACTAATAGGTCATGGGATTGAAACTTTTTCGAATTAATTATAATACCCTTGTTTCTTTGTACATTATTATTAGATATCTACTAGTCTTTTATATACTCATTTTTTTTAATAATTATAGGAAATCTGTTAAAACCTATTTTCACTTTAGTTGGCTATAAAATTAATAATTTATGTTGATTTGATTCCAGAGTTCTCAAACTACATACGAATAAAACTACTATTTCTACTACTATTTTTTTACCAATGTATTCATTATTTCGTGTTTTTTACAAGTACAGATTAACTCTGGAAGCCATATAGGTAATTTTGATTTCGATAGAAACTTTTGTGTTTTTTTATTAATAATTATTTTATAACCAGCATTATTTTAAGTTGATCAGGAATATGTATAACTTTATTAAAGATTCTAGATTAAGCACAGATTTAATTAACAAATATTTTAAGCACAATGTAAGACTGAAAAATTACATTATTTATAAATAAAATTGCATTTTTTTTAAACACACGGGGTGAAATCTAAGAAATATAAGAATACAATTTTGAAGAGTCTTTTCAGAAAAATTTGGTCAGCAGCACATTCAATATTGAACAGTACGGGCCAAAATAACGGGTATTTTTAAAATGACGGATAAATAAAGATTCTAGATTAACCATAGATTTAATTAACAAATATTTTAAGCATTATTTATAAATATCATTGCATTTCCTACAAAATTTTACAAATTAAACGGAGCTCAATAAATACGTCTATAGAAATCTATTTTGCAAAGTACGCCTATGGAATGTGACGTTATGTCTCCACTTTTACTGCACTTCTTTTTTATTCAGACTATATAAAGTAAAATAAAAAAATTAGTCAATTTCCTCTACTCTCTTCCGAATGCCAAGAAAATAATTTTAAGCACTTGGTTAATCAATAATAATAACAATGAATTCTGGATAAACCTATTTAATACATTTTTAACATTTCCAAAACTTAACTTTTCCAAAACTGAACCATACAGTGGCGTACCTATTTCGATTTAAAAATATTATCATGAGTACAGCTTGCAAATTATAAGGTCCTTTAATTATAATAGAATTAGATCAAGCATCAAACTTTATTTTTCAACAAATTAAGCAAAAATATTTCAAATGAGAATTAACAAATCCTAAATTAACTTAAGTTATAAAATTTTATCATAAGAGTCTTTTATTCATATAGATGGAAAAGTACTTTCAATCAAATTTTATATTCGCCGGGTGCGCGAAGGAAGCGACATCTTGTGACCGCATTAAATCTGGCCCTATCAATGATGAATTACATGCAAAAATTTTATAAATACAAAATAAAAAGAAAATCGCTGTAAAATATAAGTGTAATACGTGATAAATATTAAATAAATAGTAAATATTACATATTATATATATTACATATACAAGTAATTTTAATGAGTATAAAATACATTTTATTTTAAATAGAATAATGCTGAATAGATAAAGGCCAAAAATAAAGAAGAACAGAAGAATAGTATTAGATTAACTATCAAAAAAAAAGTTATTTTAAAAATTTAAACTATTAATATGTGTTAATAAATTCTCTGCCAATGAACATCATTATTCAAACAGGATTTGAGGCAATATCTCATAATATATTGTTTCAACCTCAAACTATGTACAAAGGAAAACAACTGGTAAGAGCAGATCATGTCAAAGAAGTGAAAGAATTTAGAAAATGCGGTAAAAGTTATTTAATAACATTAAAAATTATAAGACAAGCATCAGTAACATTACCAAAAACTAATAACCTTAGGAAAATTAATTATTCACCATTCGACGGAGAAAAATGTTCTCTACAAATTAGCAGGAACGAAAAATTTTCATAAATCCGACCGTTCAGGAGATATTTAAATTATTTTATTAATTTATTTACAACAAAATCCAGATTTAATGCCTCTTTGTCCACTGCGAACGCTGCTGTCGATTCGACTGTCCCCACCATATACTTTGCACCTTGCGAATAAGACCCATTTTCAAAGTAGCACAGTAATTATTATAATATGTTAGTCATAAATATGATACAAAATAAGTTTCTACGTGTATTTCTATTATTAAATTTTTCTTTAATCTTATATTTTTATTCAGTATTGAGTGTTACAAAGTACTACTTTCCTTCCTCACGCGGGGCAGTATTTTTAAAAATGACAAGTATTTTTTAACAGATAGTTTAGTTACTCTTTTTATGATCCACCCTTTGTAACACATCACTTTATCTCTCTCCAAGCCAAACTCGGTCAAACCCTTAGTAAGGTCAAACCACACCTTTTCTTTAAACCAATCACAAGACAGCTCGACGCGACGAGATATTTTTTAACGAAAGAACAGAGAATCATTATGACCTCTAAACAAGCAAGAACTAAATCAATCTCCATGCGAAACGGTCGGAATGTAACATTAAAAATTAAAACAAATATAGAAAGATTTTTTAAACCCGCATGTTTTGAAATTAATCATGTAAAAGTATCACTTAGTTGTTATCTATGTGGTTATTAAACACAAAGTTTATACAGAAATATTCATTTTAATTTCTGCATTACACGACAATCAAACTATCAATCGATCAACACGATTCTTCATTAAAACGAAGGCATCGAGAATTTAAGAAAAAACATCGCTAACCTTCTACAATGGGTATATCCTATTTATTATTTTATTTGCAAAATGAACTCCAAATATAAAACTTTTAGACAAACTATATACCTCTCCGAAATTTACAATCCGTACGTGGTATTACGTTTCTTTAGTTTTCCGTAAAAAACAGAACAATATTATGTATTCCGGGCACCATTACGTCATTTTAATGATAAGAATTTAATGAGAGACTGAAAGCTGGCGGCCAGAAACTACAACACATAAAGTTCGAAAAGTCCCCAAAACTTCAACTTTCGACAAAGATATCGAAAGTTTAAGGGCTAACAGTGTTAGTTAAACAATTAGGCAGTTGGCAACTTTCGAGATTATCCTTACAAGTAGCGTTGACGGCCTCTAAATATAAATTCCACGCAAATCAAGGCAGAGTAACGTACAGGATCAGCCTCAACCCATTTGTAATAATATGTTTTTCTAATCAATTCAAAATCTTAATTTGAAATTTATATGGAAAAAAATAGTCATCCACTTCTTTTTCTGGGCCTTTCTTCCTTGATCCTCTTCAGCTCCTGTTTCATTTGCTCACTTCGCCCTGTTTCATTATATTTCAGCGATAGTCCTTTCCAGATCCTTGAATATTCCTTTTGGTTTAGCTATATATTTTTATAATTATAGAATTGATGTATTTAAGTTTTTATTTAATTTAATAATTCAACTATAACGTCAATTTCGTAAAACATTTCAATCAAAATCAATAAAAATAATTAATTCTGCCGTGTTAATTCAAATGGCCGTATCTGTTTAATACTTGAACGTGATAAAAATCGATTTTTCAAGAAAAATAACTTACGCCCAAATTTTTAAGCGTTTAATTTCGGTTTGTATAGAAGATACATCCATGAAAATGATAGAGATAGACAAAAAATTCATTGTTGTCATGCGTAGTGGCTATTTCTTTATTTCAAGGAAAATTGCAGTTACGGCCATTTAAATTAACACGACAGAATAATCCTTTGTGAAAACAATTTCAGCAAGCTAAATGCAATTTTGTCAATCAACAGTGATGATATTTACATTTACATATTTTGTGTAAACTTAATTTTTACCGTGTTTATCTAATTTCAAAGACGCCACAAGTTTGAGGTTTTAAGTTCCCAGATAAGTAAATTCTCTTATATTTTTCTTTTGTACGCTTCTGCCTGTAGGCGACATCCCTCTCAAAGTCAGCTATTAATTTTAGCTCTTCTTTCCATCATGTCATTAGTCGTCTTTTTATGTTTATCAGATAACTGAAATAAGGAGAATGGATTTGATGCCAATTCTCGCCCAAAATTTACGTTCTGATAAGAAGGTTTTTGAGTTTGAAGAAGTAATATCTGTCAGATATTAAGTCAATTTTCTTTCGTGGTGATTGACAGTAAATATAAATTTACTCATTTAATAGCCATGTATGTTAACGAGTTGCACAAAACGGCATTTCATAACATGTTAAACAAGATTTTTAGGCTTCTATTCCAGAAGGGTAACCAACGAGCCCTTATTACTAAGCCTCGGCTGTCCGTCCGTCAGCGGACTGTATCTCATGATCCGTAATAGGTAGACAGTTGAAATTCTTACAGAATGTGTATTTCTGTTGCCGCTATAACAACAAATAAAAATAAATTAAAAATTAATGGGGGACTACCCTACTAGAAACGTGTTTTTTATATGCGAGTCCCACTCGCACTTGGCTGGTTTTATTTTTAATTTTTACTAAATTATTTTTGTATAAATAAAAAGTTCCTTGGTTATATCGGCCACAAATTTTATTTTCACAACTTTTCATTTACAAAAATTCTACTACGGTCAAAAAATTATCCTTGTTCAAATAAATTATTTATGTTTGGTTAAAAATCAATATTTTTTTGTACTTCCAATTAAATATTTGAAAATCATTGGGAAAGAAATATCGTATTTTATATAATTTGGTTTATTTGAATGAACACAAATAGTTATTTCAAATATTTATTAAAACAAAATATTAATTAATATTTGCTTTCAGTCAGAATTTTTAATGTTCTAATACTCAAAGTCTGGTCCGCGGAGCCCTGGGGATCCGCAAAGCCTTTGTGGA